ATCTGTGGCAAACCATCTTCTCTGAGTTTTTTTCAGTGTGCTTACCTCTTTCCTTATCAGCTTTTGTGGGGCTGCAGCATGTTGAAACAATCCCCGAGACCCCGAGTCAATATAATATAAGAGCTGTCTGAGTAGTTGCAGATCAATTTTAGAGCATATTTAATGAATTTTCTCTCATTTCTTTCACTTGAGTCCATGTTTGAACTTGTTATTAAATCATTATTATTTCATATGACATATATACAACATATAAGTAAACATATAAGACATTCATTTGCATAAATGTTGAATATTTGCAGCTGGTCTTTGATGCCAGCCGAAAAGTCAGGGATAGTTAGTTAGGAAAGTAGTGAAATTAAATTATGGGGAATATGCATATTAAAGAGTTATTTTCTCAATTTTTTCTTCATTATGCTGTAACCCTAACAGCAATTATCCGCCTGAAGGGTTTATGCTCAAAGTGTAAATATCACACTTTTTTAGATGAGCAGCTCATCTGTAATACAAATTGCACGCTCATTTAAGTAAATGTACTTGTGTCAGTCTAAATATTGAGGAACAGCATATTGTAACTGAACGGTTACGTGCAAATATTACAAATAAACAATGTTAGACAAACAACCAATGAAACGAGCTGATATAAGAGTGTACAATTAATAATAGAATAATTTTCACTGTTATTTGTGATATGCTTTATTATTCTTATACTGTGTAGTACAATCACTGAAATGTCCAGTCCTGAAGAGTGATTAATGGGATTATTGATTAGTTAATGTTGAAGAAGAATATAAGTAAGTGAATGTAGAGAAACCTTATCTGATATGTGTCCTAGGAAAGTAAGCAACTGATTCTCAAATCAAGTTACAATTAGAGTGAAAAAAAACCCTTTATTGGTATTTATAATGGCTATAGACCTTTTTAAAGAATTAACCATGTGAAAAGTTTTTATCTAGATAAATATTACAGTTTGTTAATTACTTGGTACTTTTTTAATTGTCAGCTTACTGAGGAAGTAAACTGAAAATGTAAAGTACTGAAATGGCTTGTTGTGGCTGTTATTTGTGGATGTCACTTTTAACCAGACAAGTTATCACCAAGGAATTCATATATCATCGGCAGCCAAGTACGTTCAGAATATTTAATTCTCTGTTCAGTTATTATGAACATCGGGCACTGGCAGAGGCACAACGATCACGTCCAGACACTATCTGGCTGACACACATGGCAGAACTTGTGACCGAATTTCCCAGAGGAACCCACCCGAGGGATTAATAAAGTTTTATCTTATCTTATCTTATCTTATCTTATCTTATCTTATCTTACTATCCGCTGAAGTTTCTTTTTCTTGCATGTTGCTCACAAAAGAGGGCAAGGACATGTTTTCGCTACAGTAAATAGTCTGGTTAAGGGGTGTCAACAGAGCTTGCAATAGGGGTTTGGCAGAGACAAGACCATTTAATATCCAGCAATGTGAGCTGAACAATTGACTTCACGTATACAATTCCATTGGCTAATAGCTAGAAACATTTAGGGATAAAGTGTGAAAAGTTTAGTCAGTAAATAATCTTAAATGGTAATGCAACAGAAGCATTCCTCCATGTGATTTCTAAAGGAATATTACCTGCAAGTTATCAGAAAACTTATGTTGTGCTATATATTTTGATTGTATTTTATTTTCTATTTTAAAAAAATCAAATCTAATATATGCTATTGCAGTGCGTGATACTGTCATACTTTATAGTTCTCCACTGTTAAAGTGAGATCTGTGTGCTAGTAGAAGTAGAAGTCATTAGACATTAGGGGATTAGGGGTTATGCGTTCAGATGCTGGTTTTCAAAGGAGAATTTAATCGTTTACTTCGCAGCCTTAATGCTGCAAGGCTACAAGTCTTCCTGTCTGTCTATAGCGAGTCTTTTAGAGTTAACCAGAAATGAATGTGTTTGATCACCCTAGTTTAACCTGATGCAGATGCTTACGTGACATATTCCGCCGTCGCAGAGGAAATAGATTCATGATGAGCAAGGAGAAAATCAGCTGTCACAGATGATGAGCTCAAATTAAATGAAACCCTTCCCTGCACAAGTGTCTCAGAAGGCTTCTAGAAACCTCGGTTAAAAGACTAAAAGTGATAAATGAAATGTTAAACTACAAAACTGTTTATTCGATTCTGGAAGCAGTGGATTCAATTGAATCCATCGAATTAAATAAACTGTCTTTGCTGCTCTGCTTTACAAGTTCAGCAGCAACTAAATATCTGATATAATTGCCTTTTCCTTGAGCTTAAAAATAAAACGTGCTGATAAATTTTTCTCTAAACGGGGCTGCAGAGTGGCTCATGCTCATTGTCAAATTTGTGTAAATGCACTTCTTTTGAAAAGTTAATTTAAAATTACAGCCACTCATATTTCCTACACCCCCTATTTAAGACTGTTGGCAGTTAGGTTACGTGACAGCACGAGCATCTACAGACAAAAGCTAACATCTAAGAATTGCTTTAGTTTTCGTTCTTTGAGGAGGGAAAAAGCAAGAAGCCAAACATCGGAGATTTGGGTTATTCTTATTTATGTATTAGACTTTAAACACTGCCAGAATGCCATCTTATTGTGCTGCAGTGAGTAACTACTGATGTGTGAGATCTATATTAGTATTCCCAAACTGATTTAAATTACAGATTGAACTATTTAAAAAACAATAACGGGGTTTTGAAAGCTAAATTTTAATATATTGTTCATAATCCATCACTAACATGGTGATTTAGGAAGAATCAAGAAAAGACTGATAGTGTTAGTGAGTAATATGATGATTTTAACTGTTTTAAATATTAAGGGCATATGTTTATTTTATAATTGCAGGTGCTGCTAACCCTTCCATGGTGTTAGCGTACTGGTGTTGTATTAGTTGCTTTCAGGAAAAACAAAAAGGAGGCAGAAATGTTGGGCACACCAGGTGTTATCAAAATAAAAAGGAGATGAAAATTATTTCCCAGCATTTTCAGCATAATGAAACTGTCCAGCTTGATGTATAAAATTCAGTGACTTTTACTCGACTGAATCTAATTTCATGCCGTCGGGTTTCAAGATGTGAAGCTGATATGGTTTTGTTTTGGGTTTTTCACAGAAAATAAAGTGTGAGGACAATTTATTGTAAACATAATCAGAAATACGAGCACGTGCAGCATGCCATGAGTGAAACCTTTTGATTAGTTTGCACCTTCAGCTGTTCAACTTGTTTGATACCTCAAAGGTGCAATGTTTCAAGTCAAGAGCAGGTCTTTTAGGCCTGCCAACATGAGGCATTGTTTATTATCCCAAAATATTATTTAAAGAACACACACAAACACATTATATAATACCAAATAAAGCACCTGCATTTACTTTACTTTAACAGTTTGCACTAAGGGCAAGAGAAGGGATTGAAGAAAAGGAGTGGATTGTGATTATAATTGGGTGTCAGTCCAGGAATGCCAGTATAGGTTTAATGTATAACCTAAAGTTGGGCCCACGTACTGTTTTTTGAACCAAAGGCAGACTCACTATGGAATTTTAATAGTTAGAGTGCGATTGAAAGAATAGAGAAGACGTCCATGTTTCATAAAGCCCATTTTACATTTGATGCAGGCACCAGGTAATACTTTTTGTTCTGTCTCTGAAGTACATCAGTTATTTAAGATTGCTTAATGAAGTACAGCAGCTTGTTATGGGTTGCAGAAAGAACAGCAGCCTGGATGTTCAGGAGCTCAGAAAAATATCAAGATGAGGTTGATAGATGTTACATTTTACTGACACATTTGACAGGAATAAAATAGAGTATCAGAAACTTTCTATTCAATCATATTGCTTTCCTGCTTTGTTTACAGCACTCAATATGACAGAGGAGAGGAGGACTTGCCCACTAGGATATTTCCCCTGTGGGAACCTGACCTTTTGTCTCCCTCAGCTCATGCACTGCAACGGTATCGATGACTGTGGAAATCAAGCAGATGAGGAGAACTGTGGTGAGTCATTGTTTCTACTTGAACACTTGTTAATAAACTCATATGCCCTGATGCATACATCTTCAAAATACCAGCTCCAGAAAGCCCTTAGGTAATGGCTGACACATACACAGTGTTTGAGATTTTCCTGGTTTATTGGTTCATGTGATAAATTACTGGTGTAGATGCTATAAACACACACACTCATACATACAAACACCCT